CTTGCAACCCTTGTAGAGCTAGAGCAAGTTTGCATTTCTCTATTTGTTATACAAATCAAATTGCTCTAGTTGATTTGCATATTTTTAAATAGGCTATTCACCCCCCTCTAGCCATATTAGGACCTTTCACCAAATGTGATACTATCATAACCATTATTGTCATTGGTGTTGATTGAGTTGAACATTCTTGTATCACCGGTCATGTGTTGAGTGCACCCACTATCAAGAACTCAATGTCTTCCTCCGGCTTTATAATTGACCTACAAAATAAGATCAATCCTTTTTAGGTACTCAAACTTGCTTGGGTCCTTAAAGGTTAGTCATTAAGCTCTTTGGTACCCAAATGGCTTTCTTCTTTGAGCCCATCCATGGTGCACCAATTAACTTAGCATTTACACCATTTGTACCATTAGTAAGCACATATAAAGAATTAATCTTAATTGAGGATATATTAGCATTTTTTATCTTGTTCTTGCACTCATGGTCTTTATGACTAACTTGCTTGCAACTAGTGCAAAACCGACCATTGTTCTTCACAAAACTAGTCTTATGAGGAGCAAAGGCCACCTTACTTTTCTTGGGGGTATAGCCCAATCCCTCTTTGTAGAGAGAATCTCTTTGACTACCCAAGTACATAAGCAAGCGGTCCTCACCACCATAGGCCTTAGCCAAGGTGTGAGTGATCTCATTGACCTCCTTCTTGAGGGTTTCATTCTCAATCATTAGTGAGGCATCACATTAGAAACCATCACTACTAGATGAGGTGGAAATGGATGTGCTACAAGAAGGGTTAGTGGGAGCAACAATGATAGGCTTATGGAATGATTCATCAACTATATCACAAGTTAAGCCTGCATCACATGTCTCAACATTCTTCTTCTCATTTTGCTCATTAAGCAAAGAGGAATGAGCCTTTTCAAGCTTCTTGTGAGCCTTGCCAAGCTTCTCATAGGCTTCCTCTAGCCTCTCATGAGATGCATTGAGCTCATCAAAGGCTTGCTTAAGGGCTTTTAGTTCCTTACGCAAGCTTTTGCATTCTCTTCTCTTAATGTCAAAGTGTTCTTTAGCATCATCTAGCATGTCAAGTAGTTCATCTTTAGTTGGTTCATCATCATCACTATCACTTTCATTTTTATTTTTATTTTCATTATCATGTTGCTCATCACTTCCATCATCATAAGTTTATATCTTAGTGGCCTTAGCCACGAAGCATGATAGAGTGTCGAAGAGAGAAGGCTTCTCATTGATAGCAATGCTTATAAGTGCCTTCTTCTTGGTGGTCTTGTCATCATCACTATCATCATCATCAATTGAGGAAGCATCACTATCCCAAGTGACTACATATGAACCATCCTTCTTCTTCTTCTTGAATGTCATCTTGTCCTTCTTCTCTTTCTTTTTCTTTTTGTCCTTCTTCTTGTTTTTCTTGTTGTCATCACTATTGTCGCTATTGTATGGGCATTGAGCAACAAGATGATCCTTGCTTCCACAATTGAAGCACCTTCTTGACTCTTCCTTGTTCTTGGATAAAGATTTCTTTCTTCTAGCACGGTAGCCCTTCTTCGTCATGAACTTGCCAAATCTCTTGATAAAGAGAGCCATCTTCTCATCATCCATCTCATCAAAGTTCAAGTCTTCATCTTCACTTGATGATTCTTGCTTTGCCTTGCCCTTAGATGATGTGGCTTTAAATGCCACACTCTTCTTCTTCTCATCCTTCTTCTCATTTTTCTTCTCCTTTTCTTTCTTCTCATCATCATCTCTATATGTATCATCGATCATTATATCTCCCAACACTTGGTTTGGTGTCATGATGTCCAAACCACTCCTCACTAGAATAGTGACCAATGTGCCAAATCTTAAAGGTAAGCATCTCAAGAACTTGTGGGAGAAGTCCTTGTCCTTCACCTCTTCTCCAAGTGCTTTGAGATCATTGACAAGCACTTGAAGCCTATGGAAGATCTCTGGCACACTCTCATCCTCCTTCATCTTGAAGCTTGCAAACTTCTCTTTGAGAATGTATGCCTTGGCACCCTTCACGGCTTGAGTGCCCTCAAATGATTCCTCCAACTTCTTTCATGCCTCATGAGCCATCTCAATGTTCTTGATTTGCTCAAATGTTCTCTCATCAATAGCATCATGAATGGTACTAAGAGCAATGTCATTATTTTGGAGAAGCACTTCTTCAGCGGTAGTGGGATTTTTTTAATCTTCTATCTCAATCTTGGTCTCCACCACTCTCCAAACATTTCTATTGATTAACTTGATATATGTTGTCACCTTAGCCTTCTAATAGGGATAGATTGAGCCATCAAATTGGGATGGCTTCTTGGTGTTGTTGATTTGAGCCATTTTTACACCGAAGGTTGTTAAGCCTCAAATCACAGTGACAACGGCTCTGATACCCCCGCGTCGCCCGGCTCCAGAGCAGCTCAGGCAGAGCCTGTCGCCCCCCACCCTAAGCCTCCTCCTCCCCACCCTCTTCTCGCCGTTGTCGGAGCGGGCCACCGGATGCCAGTGGTCGTGAGGAGGGTGGCGGCGGGGTGCTTTTTGGCACACACTTGGCTATGGCGTTGTTGGGGCCATGCCTTGCACTCGAAGGCCTAAAATAACACAGCTCTTTTTCATATAATGTTTTTATAGGAGCTCTGATAGAAGGACTAGGTGAAGGCCCACAAGTTGCCAAAGACGATGGTGCAAAGTCCCACGGGACCACCCGGGAGGCCCTAAAGGGGAAGCCTTCGGAAGGATGCAGAAACCTTCGGTGTTCCAGCAAGGTGAGAACGAAGGGTGGAGCCTTCGGCCTAGGAAGAAATGGCGAAGGGCACTGGAAGCTTTGTGGAGCGGTTCATTAACGAGTTGGATTCGATCACGCCAAGAACAAGGAGAAGCTGACGGCAGGGAGGCCAGTAGTGCGCTGGATCAAACTGCCAAGAGGCTTTGCGAAAATTAATGTTGACGCGGTGATCTCTAAAAACTCGACCATGGCTTTGGTGGCTGTTGTGGCTAGGGATGAAGATGGCAATTCCTGGGGGACGGAGACAGCAGTGGGGCGGGTGGGGCTCAAGACCCCCTACTGCTGATGTGTCCACGGAGCCCCCCCTAGCCTCCCCTAGAAGTTTCAGCTATAGAAGCCATGGAAACTTTGCTAGTCTAGCTCTCTATTCAGTCCAGCCCCTCCTAATATTTTTCTAGATCATCACTGCTGGGGGCAGCGACGCTGGTTCTAGAGGGATGCACGGATATCGTGGAAATAACTGAAGTGGTGGCATGTCATGAGGGATTGGCTTTGGCCAGCGACCTCGATCTCCAAATATTTCGGGTGGCTAGTGATTGCGTCAACGCAGTAAGAAGCATCCACGGAGTAGGGTTTGGAACGCACAACTCCATCATCCAGGAGATCAGGAGTAGGAAGGATAGATTCACAAGAGTGGAATACGTCAACGAAGGAAGAAACTCCAATTTTGATGCTCATTGTTTAGCTAGGAGCTATGTTCATTTTCTGGTAGGAAGATATGTTTGATTTACTTCGTCTCCTTATGGAGTTTGTACTTCTTATTCGGATATATAAAGAAGGGTGACTCTTTTGCTAAAAAAACATATTAATTAGTACCCCTCCACCAACTCAAATATTAAAAATGTACTAATTACTACTCCCTCCATCTTAATATAGAAGGCGTAACCATTTTTTTTTCATGCCCCATAATATAAGGCCTGCTCTCTCTAGACACACGTACATAGATACAATACTAGTGTTGAGAGAGAGAGTTAAGTACCCTTGATCTTTGAACCAGACGGAGTAACAATTAGTTGGTCTATTAACTACTAGTAATGTGTGGCCTCACCTGCTAATTTTACCTGCTAGCACTAATAGATGCACGTACAGGAACCTTTAGGTCCTGTTTGTGTGTTTTTTTTACCACCTTTATATTAGCTTTTGGACTTTCCAAAAACCAAACAGCTCACATAAGCCAAAAAAAAAAGCCCAAAAACTCACTATATCGAGCTTTTGGCTTTCAGAAGCACTTTGGCTTTTAAAATTAAAGGTCCAAAAACTTCCAGAAAACCCAAACAAGGGCCCATGATTTGCAAACCCAACAATAAATAAAGGACCGAAACAGGACTCAGCTCAAAGAGGATAGGTAAATTATAATTTCTTTTGTAATGTTCTTCTAATAATAATATATAAAGTATATGAATTGTCCTATAAAAAAAGTATATGAATTGCGAACTATAAGAGCGACGACTAGCTAGCTTTGCTAAAATATTCGATGCAGGCTAGCTGCTGCTGGCGGCCTATAATGGTTGGTCGCAACTTATATCTATATATTATAATTAATTAACGCAGGCACGCAACAGCACGCTACGCGTATATAGCACGACTGAATGGAGGAAATACCCGCTTAAGAAAAATGACCTTCAGGCTTAAGTAACTTGCTAGCGAGATTACTTCGCCGGCAGGCCGGCAAAGCATTGGTTATTTTAACTTTGTGTTTGATGAGAACAAAGGAATAGAGCAGCATTGGGTTGCCATCTGTGAACGTTGGTGCGTCCGTCCAAAACTCCGATTACCTATAATCTCCTCTGTCGTCGCTCACAAGGTTCTGTTCGTTTAGCTAATAAGACATGGCTAAAAGTACTATTGGCTGATTTGTTGTAAAAAAAAATGCTGTTCATTGACTGAAAAAGTACGGCTTATAAGCCAAACAAACAGGGCGAAGCTTTTCTCAATGACCCCACCGCCTATAAATTGCATATACATGTATACTAGTTCTAGTACAATACAATCCACACCCCATAGATCAACAGCGTACCCATTTATACCCTATACCAAGGCCAAATAGTGCATTTCCAATCTACCTCGACCGGTACAAGCACCCTTGGGTAATCTGCTCTCCCTGATGCATGATCGGGTTCTTTGTTTCTTGCCTTGTGATGACGATCGATGACCAGGTTCTTTATCTGTTTCCCTTGCCAAATTAGTTATTTCCAGGCGCGCGATGGCAACAGGTGGACCGAGCGCTGCCGGTGCTGGCGCCGCCGCTGCCGCTCCCAAGGACTCGTGGCCGGAGTTGGTGGGCATGTCGTCGGAGGAGGCGAAGAAGAAGATCAAGGAGGACAAGCCGGGCGTCGACGTGCAGGTCGTCCCCGCCGACGCCTTCGTCACCATGGACTACAACACCGGCCGAGTCAGGGTCTTCGTCGACTCCAACGACAAGGTTGCCAGAGCTCCCCGGATCGGCTAGCTAGCTAGCCACTAGAGGGGGCGCGGGTGCCAGCTGCCAGCGACCATATATAGGTAGCCCCGTTCGCTGGTCTGAAACTGGACTGAAAAATATTGTTTCAGCTAAATTATTGTGAGAAAAAAACACTGTTCGGCTGGTTTGATGAATAGTGAACTGAGAGGGTGAGCAGCCGGCTGGCTGGTCAAACCAGACCAGCGAACTGCCCTAGAATTTCTAATTTCGCATGAACAATAAAAGGCAGATGCATGCATGCGATATTTGTGTATCTGGAATTATATATGGATCCATTTGTGAATGTGTGAGAACGTGAGATCACTTCGATTTGGGTTTGGGCCTCTCCGTTTTTGTCTTCTGTTCTTGGTGAAATGGAAACTGACAATCAATTGATCAGAGCTTATATTAGCTAGTAGAAAAAACCTGAAAACAGGGAGACAGAGAATGCAACGGTCCAGAGCATCAATCTAACGATGAGATGATTCTACCCAGGGCAAGTATCTCTCTACCCCATGCCATTTTTTTTTTACAACAACCCCCATGCTATTGTTGAATGACTAGAAAAGAAAGCTCTCCTTCGTCATTTGGAAAAACACAAGGGCTACAAACGAGACCGTACCTGAAATTTAAGGGCCCTATGCAAAAAATGAATGAGACTCGAAATGCTGTTGAGGCGAACTGAGCGTAGCTCAGCTGGTTGGATTCCTTGTGATGAAACCTGCCGAACCGAAAAGTCCTCGACTTAATTCATGCCTCTTTGATATTTTTTGGGGCAATCTGGTATATCTTTGATGAACTACACATTAATCAGTTTTTTATTGATTTCAGATGATTTCGGATAATTCAATAGTGTTCTGTGAGAGAGAACAAGCTGAAACAAGGGGAGAGTGGAGCAGCCTAACAGGCTGACTACCTCTTCCTACCTTTTGTTGTAGACGGTTTGTCAGCCGTGGCTCGGGTCGGCTGTCGTCTGCTAGCGGCGGTTTTCTTGACGCGTGGAGCTCTTCCTCTCCTTCCTATCTACTACCAGCCATAGCTTGGCCACACCGAGGCTTCCACCTTCTTAGAAAGCCTTATCATCACCCGCACCTTTTGACGTTGTTCCAGTTTCTTGGCGGCCTCTTCTAGCGCATGTATTTCTAGTACCTCGGGTTCCGTGGGAGCTACCCGTGTACGGGCTCTTCTCGTTCTTACTGCTGCTACCACTCATGGTGTCTAGGCTTGTCTTCTGCTTGATAAGGTTGAGGCCCTGGAGACTCTTGCACCTCATGCAACTATTGGCCACGAGGTGGTATCGACTAATCAGGGTTTTCAATAATCGGCTACAACTGAGACTGTAATAATGTAAGAGGCTAGGAAGTAGGAGCATTTTGTGCCACAGGATAAACTGGTTCATACATTGTAAATCTATGCGCCATTTATATTGTCCAAGCAAACCTAAGCCTTGAGCATCCTAACATGTAAGCTCCACATAAGAGGTCTTAGCGCCAAAGCATATGGCCTCGTGACGTGGAACCTTGGCACCATTTACATTCGTGCACTTCTAGGGGTCTATTTTTGGTAATGTTTCTTCCAAGCGTTCAAATATGAATTTCTTATGAAACAAACAAACATACCACGCCCCCCTCAACCTCCCCACCCGCAACACACGAAAAAGTGAGAGAGACCATCCAAAAAAGCCACTGAATTTAGGGCGAATCCAGGAACTTGTGAGTGGGGGTGCTCAACTTCACCTTCTCCTTTCTCCCTCTCCTCTTTCTCTTCTTCCCCCTTTCTCCTATTCTTTCCCCTTCTTCCTATTCATCCATGGCCACAAAAATTAGAGGGTGCTGGAGGCCCCATGCCCCCACGCTAGATCTGCCCCTGACTGAATTCCCTTAGAGGTTATTTAGATTCTTTTATTTATAGGAATTGAAATCTACTTAATAAGCTAGGCTATTTGACTTGGAATTTGATATTTCACAAATTTTCAAAGTTCACATATAAGCCTACGTCAAATTCATAGGGTGGGAGATGAAAATTGATTCTACAGTTCACCATGCTATGTTTCTATGTTGTAACTTATAACACGCTCTTCAACTCACTCTCCTACGGTAGAAATGCAACACATGAGTATATATCTTGCATAGCCAACAATTGCCGTGTTCGCTTGGCTGATGAAAGTACTGTTAGATGATTTGTTGTGAGAGAAAAATACTGTTCGTTGGCTGAAAAGTACGGCTTATAAGCCAAACGAACATGACGAATAATATACAAATATAATTCATATACAACCATATTAGCTTAATTAATATGTGTGTCTAGATTATGATTATTAAAATGAATTCAATTCAAGGATCCAACGGGCTCAACGGGCTCGTGAAAAAAAAACAATAGAAAAGAATAAAGAAATTAGATGAGCGAAAAATGGATTAATGCCTGATTTGTGATTTGTACAATAATGATAATTTATTCAAATTGAAAAAAAAAGTTTGACTCATCCATCCCCGTTCCCAATGTCATAAACCTCCACCTGCGAACTTGGCCATGGCGTCCGTACCACCCCTCCCCCAAAATCGCCCCTCAGACGCCGCCGCCCTTCTCTTCCGCTCCCCCTCCTTCTCACCCGGGATCTCGCCTTCTTCGGCTGCCCGGCCGCGCAGGTTCCCGGTGGTTGCGTCGGCGCGCGAGATGCCGTGGCCGCACGTGCTGACGGTGGCCGGCTCCGACTCCGGCGCCGGCGCGGGCATCCAGGCGGACATCAAGGCGTGCGCGGCCCTAGGAGCCTACTGCTCCTCCGTCATCACTGCCGTCACCGCGCAGAAAACCGTCGGCGTCCAGTCACGTTATGCCCGATTCCCCATCTTTTCTTTTGCTACTAGTGCGCTTTCTTTCGCCGCTATTCGACCGAGAACAGGGGATGGATGATCTGGTTGTGCTGTAGGGGGTCCATGCTGTGCCGGAGGAGTTCGTGGGGGAGCAGCTCAGGTCGGTTCTCTCGGACATGTCGGTGGACTTGGTGAGCTTCTTTGCCTTTCGGCATTCAGTAACGATGCCATGGTCCAGTTATGTCTTATGAGAGGTTAGCTCTTCCAAATCTTAACGCACGCAGTGCCCCTGATATGTGTGCTATAAACAGAGATCTTTTTGTTCGGGGCAGGCTATTCTTGCTATGGTTACTAAGCTATTTTGCTTGGCGAAGTGATTCATGGAAGGAGTTTGAATATTTCTATTAGTTGGTTTATTACACGTCAATTCTGTCTGTTGGGGGTTAACTTTCCATGAAATTGGATCGTCTTGCTGTGAAATTGGCAGCTTAGGTGCGAATGCATATATTTCAATTTTCATTTCCTTTAAGGTGATTGAACTGTGTTCCCATTTCGTACTGACAAGGGCTATCACCAGTTCACCACAGTTTATAGCGTATACTAGTTACCAGTGGTAGATAATGTTTGAAATTTCCTGGAATCCTAACACTTCATCCCTGCAAGATGCATTTCTCTGCCTCAAGAATGATATTTGATCAACATAGCTATGTTTGTATTGCCAAATGACTTGTTGATTGTTTGAATGTGCTTCTGTAGAAGTTGTCATATGAAATTGGAGTTAGGTGATAGTTTGTTATGATTTAATCTATTTGATTTGGATCCTATTTTCACTTGGAACTAATGCTATGTGTGTCTTCTGTTCTTGATTTTGTTAGGTGAAAACTGGGATGCTCCCTTCAGCTGGAGTAGTTAAAGTTCTCTGCGAGAGTCTTAGGAAGTTTCCAGTCAAAGGTATGCTGTATTGCTGCAAGTGTATGATCAAAGCATACTATGCCAACTCAGTTATTTACTTGCTATGACTTATGCTTCTGAAGGCAGCTCTAGTGGTGGATCCGGTCATGGTGTCCACCAGTGGTGATACTCTTTCAGGACCATCTACTCTCGCTACATATAGGTACAGGATCAATATTTTTTCTCTTCTGTATGCATTTATGAGTTGTTTTTGGACTTATTGCTGTTATATCCTCAATACCATAGTACTTATGGACATGCTCTTGCAATTGTTATGAGCAGGGATGAACTGTTTTCTATGGCTGATATAATCACTCCTAATGTGAAAGAAGCATCTAAGTTACTTGGGGATGTATCATTGCATACAATTTCTGACATGCGCAATGCAGCTGAATCCATTTACAAACTTGGTCCGAAGTATGTGTTCTTTATTTCTGTAAATTTGTTCTGTTTACCTTATTTGTTCTCTTAACCTACATGTGCGTTATCACATTCTTGTGCATCTGACGTTACATCTGTATAAGGGAATGCCAACCTGACCTCCCAATGTTCTATATGAATATCTTAAGTATACTGTTCGAAGCAAACTTGCTACTATAGTTGTCATAAGCTTGGAATCACAGGGAATTTGCGTCATACAACCATTTAAGATGCAATTTCCATCTATACCATCAGGCTAGTAAATGACATGTGGGGTCTGGTCCTACATGTCATTGCCATTGACACAGGTTAATAGTATAGATGAAAAGTGCACATTAAGTGGTGATATGGATGAAATCAGTCTTGAATAATATACATAATTTTGCTCTGTTCCATATTTCCAGATTTAGGAGCTAGCTACACATGGTTCTTGTGTTGATTTATCATGCCTGACTATACAAATTTCTATTGGTTCCAGCTTGAGATGCTGATAGTCCCTACTATTTAAACCAGTCACAAGTTTCCTCATGGCACTGATTGTTGCCCTGTCTTGAATAAGTACTAAACCTTGTCACTGTGCCTTGCTAGCTGAAAGCTCTTCATTTGACAGTTGATTCCATTGTTACCTGCATTATTGAATGTCCTATTTAAAAATGCATATAGTGATTGATGGATAATTTGCTAATACAAGCTTACCATTTGAAGATATGTGCTTGTGAAAGGTGGGGATATGCCAGATTCACCAGATGCAATTGATGTATTATTTGACGGTATATTTGAATAATTTAATACTACTCGCTTAGGTCAATTAACTTCTTTCATTCCTCCCTTTTTAGCGTCCCCATACAAGTTCTGACCTATTTCATCAGGTAAGGAATTCATTGAGCTTCGTGGTCTGCGTATAAAGACTTGTAACACACATGGAACTGGTTGCACATTAGCTTCATGTATTGCTGCTGAATTAGCAAAAGGTGCAACAATGCTGCACGCTGTTCAGGTTAGCCTGCAAGTTCTGACATTTAAGTTATCACACACTGATACCTGAGAATAATTAAAAATAATTGAGGTAAATTATCTGCTGAAGTGTTATTCACTAGGAAAAAAATAATTCTTTGGCAACGAACAAGACATAGATTGAAACTGTTTTCTAATCATGTTCATATTTACTTGGATTTCTTTTGTGGTACAAAACTTACTAAGTAAATTCTCCCCTGTGATGGGGTGACTCTTTAGTACAAAGGTCTCGAAAATTGGCATGTGACTGGTGGTAATTTTTGTTGTGTTAGATGAGATGTTATAATGCACATTTACTGCATGTGGCACCTTGGCCAGCCATAATCTTCTTTAGATCTAGAGCATCCCCTAGGCTGTTTTGAGCTGTGACTCTGTGTCTTGGAATATGCGTTCGAATCCCGTCAATTGTAAGATCCTTTGTTGTTTTTTCTTTTGTTAAATACCTTACTTGGGTGCTTAAGTCAGTTCCTAATAGTTTTCGAACCTTGACTATACGTAGGTTCACTGCTCATAATAGTAAGATTTTTCAGTGTTTTGTATGTATGTTTTCAGGTTCGCTGTCATAATAGTAGTATCTTACATAGTTTTTATTTCCCATACTTGATGTTGGCAGGTTGCAAAGAAATTTGTGGAATCTGCTCTTTATCACAGCAAAGATCTTGTGATTGGAAATGGACCTCAGGGCCCTTTTGACCACCTCTTCGAGCTCAATTCTCCGTTATACAAGATGGGATCACTGCAAAAGTTGAATCCAGATGACCTCTTCCTGTATGCAGTGACAGACTCTGGGATGAACAAGAAGCGGGGTCGTTCGATAAAAGATGCCATGAAAGCTGCCATTGAAGGTGGCACTACCATTGTCCAATTGAGGTTATCTTTCTTGAAAACGACCAAAGTTCCTCTTGTGGTTCAGTCTCTTCATTTGATTTCACTGACCGTGCTTTGAATTTCTAATGTTCAGAGAGAAAGATGCCGAGACACGGGAGTTCTTGGAAGCTGCCAAGGCTTGTGTGGAAGTCTGCAAGTCCAGTGGAGTGCCGCTGTTGATCAATGACCGCATAGATGTCGCTCTGGCATGCAACGCAGATGGCGTCCATGTTGGTCAATCAGACATGCCTGCATGGGAAGTACGAGAGCTCCTAGGACCTGGAAAGATCATTGGCGTCTCATGTAAAACCCCGGCCCAAGCCGAGCAGGCATGGAAGGATGGTGCAGATTACGTCGGCTGTGGCGGTGTCTTCCCAACCTCAACGAAGGAGAACAATCCCACCTTAGGGTTTGAGGGCTTGAGGACCGTCTGCTTGGCTTCGAAGCTGCCCGTGGTCGCCATCGGCGGCATCAATGCTGGAAATGCAGCTTCGGTCATCGAGCTTGGGTTCCCAAATATGAAAGGTGTGGCTGTGGTCTCTGCTCTGTTTGACCGGGAATGTGTCGCGACTGAGACAAGAAACCTCAGATCCATCCTGAAGAATGCTTGCTCTAGATCTCAGAGCACGTTGGCACGTTGGCACCTGTTCATTTAATTTCTTTGTTTAGGCCAAATTAAGTTTCTAATCAAGCTTTCACCATGCACTTTGTCAAAAGGGGAAACAAAAAGACGTTGCAGTGTTCAATAATTTGCCTGAAAAATAAATAATTTTGTGACATTTCAAAGGTGCTGAATTGTAGTAAGAAATTAATAATGCATCAGAACTACATTTAATGCTAGTACTATACTTTTTTTCCCCACAGGCCACAGCAGGTCATCCCATTCATTCAGTCACACGGCCGCACATCGCACCATCTCGCCCGTTTTGTCCACACGGCCGCACGCTGGGTTATCCGCGGTGGTGGCCGATCCAGGCGGCGGTGGGCCATTCCGCTGGCAACAATGACGTTCGCTCCCGCAGGGACGGCAGCAACGGAGACCCCTTCCCAGTGGCAACGGAGGCAGTATGAGTCATAGCTACGAAGAGATTACAATTTGACATGTACTGGGACATAAGAAGGTTCTCAGTGCTATATATATATATATATATATATATATATATAGAACTACCATCTTGATTCTGATTTCATCGATGATATTGGGCAACTAGAGGGGGTACAATTAGAGGTATCACTTCTGTGCAAACACCTAGCCCTATGACAAGAGGGTATAACTCCTTCGATCTTTATGTCTTACTGCTTGCTATCTCCATTTAGTTGACATACTTCTATGTTCATTTACAGTTGTAACAGGATGCTAGAACTTGAAGGCTTTATAGAGCCTGTTCAGTTGCTGGCAATGAGAAGGGAAAAGGAAAAAGGTTGAAGGTTGTCTGGTCCGAGAAAACATAGGCTATGCAGGGTGTCATGTTATTATCCAATAGTTGTTCAGTTATGACCTTGTAGTGTGTGGATTTGGCAGCATCAAGATAGCCAGATGTGGCTCAAACCTGACATTTTATTTTGCTGGTCCTGCTGAACCATTTTACTCTATGAGGGTGAATTATGTACCGTTCTGTATCAGTCAACTGGCTGAAATGTCAAATCAACATATTGTTATGTTGACCTCTCTGTTTGGTTATATTGTTGAAATGTTGGTTCGAACAGCAGGGGCATACTTGTCCTCTATAAGTATACTGTGATCTGTTTGAGTAGGGAAAACTATATTATTGTAAGAGTTATAGTGTCCACTAGCAAATTACTTCTCTCTCTGTTTCAAATTATAAGTTGCTTAGATATATAGCAAAATATATGTAAAAAAAAGTTAAAACGATTTATAATTTGAAAAGGAGAGAGTATTAATTTATAGTATCTTTTAACAAAGACAACTTTTCTTAATGACCTATGACAAACTCACAAAAGTCACCTTTGATGAGTGTCCACTAGCCAATTTTTCCAAAAAGAAATATGAGAAAGCATTTGTCTTTGTGGGCGTCATTAGGCCTTCCACAGCGTGTCGCCTAAGTGATGCCAGGAGATGAAAGAAAAAATTTAGGAGTCACTCAATACACTGTAGGAGGAGATGCCAACTTCTAGTGGTGCCCGAAAAAGTGGGAGCGAGGCAAGTAGTTGCGTCACTGCTTGATTGATTAAAAAATATTAATTTTTGTACATGAATAGCAGAACCTCCGTACATCCGTCCTATTTAAACTAGCATAAACACTATTTTAATTGAACATGTACTGAGGCGAGATAGATTTGGTTTGTCACACTGCAGCCATAAAGTACTCGATGTCTGATAGTGTTTGTAGGACGTACCTTTTTTTTTAATGGCATCACTCGCCCATTGTGGAGGGTCTTACTTGCCGCAGCAGCTAGCAGGCATTTGGATGGAAATTTCCTCACCCTCTGTGTCTTTGCTTATTCGTCGACCGGCAGGAAGCGCGTTGAGCCTTGACCCAGCCAGCCGTTGACGAGCTTTCGCCAAACTGGATCTTCACACCGGACCCTCCCTCCATCTCTCCTGAGGGCTGAGGCTACCGCTGGAACATCCCCAAGAGCTTGCGGCTTCTAATGGCGGATCCAGTAACCGCTACTGTAGCTGTCGGATGGGGCATCAAAGTCGTAGGATGGCTCGCCTCGCCCATCATTTCTCAGATCTTGAAGAAAGGCTTCTCCTACCTCGGCTTTGACGCACCGAAGAAGCTTAAGCAACTTGAGACAAGGCTGCTGCTGCTGGAGCGGGTGATGGAAGCTGTGGAGGAGAGCCCGCACAGGCCTCGTTTGGAGAAGCTATTCAGGGAACTTAAGTCGGCTTTCTGTGAGGCGGAAGACATCTTGGGTGATATTGAGTACTACCGTCTCGAGAGACAGATCAAGGATAATGAGGTGAAGTTAGACGGCGATGCATCTTCACGGATGAGGGGGATGAAGAGGAAGCTCCAATCTGCCACACCGAGATGCCCCCTAAAAGATCAGGTCGCCTTTCTTTGCTCTCTCTTATTACTCGCATGTGATTCTATTACCAGTTACTCTGTATGCTTTTTCATCCCGATTCAACATGTAATATGTGTTTAATTAGCACTTTAGTTTGAGCTACATTAGCCTCTAGTGCAACCCATCTAGTGTGACTCCATAAATCCAGATTTTAGGCACCTAATTTTGGCCTTAGCTGTTGTAGTTTATAATAAAAGTTTTCTCTTGCACATGTTCAGCTCAAGCCATAAAGCACTTGTTGTATACCTTCTATTCCAGATTCTCAAATCTCAATTTGGATTTACACCCTAGTGATTGAAGCCTTTGAATGTCTATTTTCCGTTAACAAAAGTTTATGAGTATGTTCGAATAACTTTCTTAAAAAACATTGCATTGCTTACAATTGAACTATCAATGCATATAGGTCGTGATGTTTCAGTAAAAACATAACAAATTTACATAAAGTAGCAACTTAGATGTTTTTTTTTTAATTTAACATCATTACTATTATAATTGATATGTAAGTCATTAATAAAACATCTTGCATGACTGCTAAACAGTGGAAAGTGATGTGCACATTGCTCCTGAACAATATATATTTGTGGTATGCACGGTGGCAGGCATCATACATGAATTACTGTTACTTCTTGTAATTCCTAATAAGATTTTTCTCTTAAGTTGAAACCGCAACACTTGTGGTCCCTTGTATTCTGGATTCCCTATTTTCATTTATTAAGAATTTGGATTCCAATCCTGGACTTCACTCTTAGTTATTACAATCACATTAAACATGTTTTTAGCCAACACACTAGTGCTTGAGATGTCTAATTCCCTCTACGCAAAAACTATGAATATAGTCGTATATTCCTCAAAATTCTGTAGTATAATAGTATGTATAATTGAATTATCAATACATAATTGCATATATGTTATAATATTTAGTCAAATAATACATTTTCCTATAGTAACAACATTGATATTTCATTACTACATCCATGTGTATGCGCTCCTGGTCGAGTAACTTCATGGATAAGTGGCCTCTCTCAGATCGCTCCCCATTGTCTTCATTATGGATAGTTTCAGGCAAAACGCCGAGGGCCTCTCGTCCCTCGTGCAACATCGACGGCCACGCCACAAACGTGATTGGTATGATCTTGAAAGATTACAAGCCCCATGTATATAACTCTTGGTGCACGCAAGCATCAATAGCTTAGAGGTATGCAGACCTCATTAAACACTAGGCCTAAATCTAGATCAAGCGCTAAAGCAGCCTCTAACTAGCCTAAGCACTAAACTAAGCACTTTAACTAATCACCTAAATCTTAAGCGCATATGGTGGCTAGAGCACAAATATTTAAGCCTTAGCTCAACTATAGCTTCCTTAAACTCCACGCTCCAAATGGACGGGTATGGGGGTATATATAGCCCAACACACTTAACTAGCCTTTAGAAGCAAGGGCTGCCTCAGCAGTGAATACCGAAGATCATTGGTGACCACACCAGAGGAATTCGGTGCCCGACATGTAGACTAGCCATTAGCCGACCGTTGGAACCTCACTGTTGCACCCTTATTCTTCGGTGCTTTTTCGGATTGTCTTTAGCTCTCCACCACGCCTATGCACACTCTCTGTACTCAATCTTCGCCGCATCACCCACTGGAAGTATGCATGTGCATGCTTCCAACTTGCCTTGGATTGAACCCCACTGGATTTCTTTGGTGCTCTTGTTCCAGCACACTGTTGTTCCTGTTCTAGCACTCCGGTGCTCTTCTATGTGCCTTTCTTGGCATCCATTGTCCGGGCTTCACTTTTATGATGTCTTGAGTTTCTTATTTGTCTTCTAAGGTCCTGTATCGCTCAGTGTTCATTTGAGGTGTTGATTCCTTAATTTTCATCTTATCCTAGCTCAAGTCCATCTCTTGCATCCATAAAACTAAATACCATGTATACTAGCAAACATTTTTATTACTAATGGTTATGTTGTTAATCAACCACCAAAATCACTAAACCCTTGCTAAGGTCCCTGTTTCTTATAGGTATACTCATTACTTCATACATATGTGTATACATGGTCTTCATGGTGACACACTATAAGGATCGAATGGCCTCAAAGGAGGTGGCGGGGTTTGAAAGGCTATAAAAATTTAAAACAACAAACCGTAACCCAACCAAACTAATTCACCGCTAGGTAAGAACCTGCTTTAAAACTACTTCAAAAAGCAAACTAAGTAAGTCCTTATGGCTACCAAACTAAACCATGCTTTAGTAAGAACACACTAACTATAGTGTCCTTAAAAAATCCTAGAAAGAAACCTATCTAGTTCATCACACTAAAACAAAATAAAGTTTAGAATGAGATTCACAATGCCTCAAGCAATAATGCTACTGAATAGAAATAAGTGAACAAGAGAGAAACTATTTTTTTCCGGTAGTGTTGAGTAGTTGCCGCTACCCCCGAGATCATGTTGGAGCAACCACTGAGGGTTGAGCTCTCTTGAGTCACAAAGGCTGAAGATCCATTAAGAGTACCCACTCTCCACCCGGCTAAGCACACCTCTAGGAGCCTTACAATAATCAACTCCATCGACAAGATCAGCTAGACCTCCACCCAGCTGTCTAGGAGCTGACAAACTCCAAGACTA